TGAACAGCTGGACCGAAGTTTTCGACGCTCTCAATGTTTTGCGAGACCCAAACAGGCCTGCAACATGTTTTTCCCTGTTCAGTAAAACGGGACCGTGAGTAAACTGAAACGCGTGTGAATGTGTGTGTGAGTGGGCTCACCACTACATTTGCTAGTATCTGTTTTAGGACACTTGACGGTATTGTTTTGTTTATTTTAAAGCTTTCTGTGTATTTTCCTGTGTGGATAGAGATTTAGTCCAAACTGCTATACCACTTGTCTCAAACATGTGAGTGAAACTATTGTAGCTAGCTAAATAGCTTAAAGGGGCTATTATTCAAGTGTTCAGAGAAGATTTTGGTCATTTATTTTGTTAATGGGTTAATATTGAGATAAGGGAAAAGCTTTTATATTTCTTTTGTGAATTTCTGTGATCTAATTAAACCAGGGTTTTACCCTATTCTTTTTGTTAAAATATAAACCATCTCTGGGTCTCCTTATTTCTAAAATATTTTATTATTAACAGTTGTGTAGCTCAAATACACTTATTAGGTGCACCTTCGTGGTATCCACCTGACTACGTCGAACCCAAGCACCCTCCATTCTTAAGTAATTCACAGAGTGGTTGTACGGGTGCTACATATATATATATATATATATATATATATATATATATATTTTACCTGAACATAATGTAGTATCAAACATAAACACGAGATGTCACTGTCATTCCACGACCAAAGCACAGGTCGTATAGCCTACACACTGCGTTAATCGGTTAATCGCATAACTCAGTCTCAATGCCTGCCTGTGTTTAATTCACTGTTTAGCGGTAAATCCCGTCGCTCGTGTTCTGGACTGATGATCAAGCTCGTGATGGGTGACGTGCAGACAGATGATCGGTTAAACTGCTGATGAATGCGCTAAACCAATTGCGGAAACCAGTTGTTTTTAAACATCAAAAACCAGTTGAAGGGCCAGATAAAAATGATCTAGGGGCAGCCATTTGACTCGCCCGGAATATTTTTTTGGGTCGTGCTGACCCAAGACATCAAATTTCAACGCTGCAGGCCTGGGTTCCAGAAAGAATCGTGCTGTTTCACAAAAACATTCATCCAATTGAAATGCATTAGTTTAAAAAACGTGCTGAAATTACGAAAATAACGGCAGAAAGAATCGTGCTGTTGCACGAAAGATTCATCCCATTGAAATGCATTAGTTAAAAAAAAAAACTTGCTGGAGTTACGAAAATAACGTGAACGTGAATGAACGTGTCCCTGCCACGAATAAATATGTTAAATTACGTGACCACATCACAAACTGAGACTGGGTTGGTACCTCACATGTCCCTTGTGAAGATTTTATAGGTAGTTTGCAGTCACGTGATTGTGTTGACGCGCGGAATGCAGATGGAGGGCAAGGAGTGAAGAGCGCAATGGACGAGATGGAGGAAAATCCATATGTACTACTTTAGACGCTATTACAAGAGAAATATATAAACAGAAAATCGAAACATATGTTGGACGTGAGCCTTGTTATGAAGAGGACCGATTTTCAACTGAATTGAGAGATTTGCCTGCCATCGAGGCTGTAGATCAGCAACTAACTCGTCCTACAGACATTGACTTTACAAAGTTCGGAAACGGTACGTTACACAAACAGCCACATAAGTGTATTTAAACACCTGAATAATGTAATTATAAGCCACATAAATAATGTATTAACTCACATTTGACGAAGTGATCACTGCACACACACACATAGGCATTTTCCCATTCGGCTCCTCCCGACCGCATACATAGGTTGACAAGGCATTTTTCCCGGTGTTTTTCTGCCAATTTCTTGTATTTTCCACCCTTATGAACAATAACTTTTGGCATACGATAAAAACTCCTCGTGGTTTGATTGATTTGAGCAACCATGAACGACGCAAAACATAGACATTTTGAGTGTGTTATTATCCACAAGTTTCCGAGGGGCGCTCCTGTAAAAAATAAAGTGGGTGAAACTTCCGGTGAGGCGGGGGAAGTAGCATTCCAATGGTATTTTTTATGTTAGTTAGCGAAGAGGCTAGCTGTTTTTCTGAGAATTATTTTACTATTTAAAGTCTCAAATCTTTATGAGAGATGTCGTTACGGAGCTCAGGGACAACATGTGCTGTTCGCGGTTGTATGTATAACCGGACTAAACTAATTCAGTGGCTTAAACGTGATTGTTTTGAACATAAGCTGAAAACGAAATCAGAGTGATCCTGAAAGAGACCGTCTCTGATCCTGCCAACGACTGTAGTTTCCATCACCTCCCAAAAGACGACGAATCTTCCTGTGTACATTTGTTTAAATTCTTAATATTCTATAAACTCTATCATGTGATTGGCTGTTCGCTACTGATGTTACACCTAAACTCAGGATCAAAGCCTGAGTTGACAGAATACCAAATGTGCCAGTTAATGTATTCAAGTAGCACAATCATTTATAATTTTGAATAAACTCCAAAGCACAATGACTCAGTGTGAATTTTTTATTTTAATTGTTTGTCAGCTCGCACAACTGTCTGTCACCATGCCTTGATGAGTATTGATTATTAATAATGTTATTATAATACTCCCAATCAACTACTGCGGAGGGTAAAGGTACTGTTATTTCACTCTTTTGAATTTAGTTGAGGTTGTGTTCACACATCGTTAGGTAGTTTGAAACGCTATAACTTGAATGACTGTCAACTGTTGAATGAACGAGTGTCAAGCATGTCAAGTAGCGCTTTGTTTACTTCGAACCGGAAGTCGCGCCGAATTTTGACGCAAGGCCTTATGGGGCGTAGGAAACTTGTGGATAGTGCTGCTTCCTAAATATAGAAAAACCCTTCCTGCCCTCCATCTGCGTTTCACGCTATGGTTTTGCGCCATGGCAACGCAGTGGCGTGACGTCACGTGAAAACAAGCTATTAATGATTGCATTTTAATGTAGCAGCAAGTAAAGATGCGGTCACATTTGTGAAATTTGTGAAATTACACAGACGAAAAAGTCCATTGACACAACTTAACTTAGTGAAGATGCACTTTTTTTTTCTTTTTTTCCTTTTTACATTGATTTATTAAATGGAACATATGTGTTTCCATGCATTTTATTGAGATGTCTTTTCTTGTATACCTTATTGTATATACTGTACATTGTTGATTATTCATGTTGCTTATGTATTATACTATTTGTTTGTGTATTCTATTCATTGATATTAATCTATCGATAGCTTCTTTTCCCAAGTGCATGGAAGTGTATGTATTAAAATGAATCTAAAATATGTAATACACTATTCTTATTTTGTATTTGGTTCAGTTTGTTTATTATAATAGAAGTTAATGCTAACCATGAATAAATAAATAAATAAATAAATAAATAAATAAATAAATAAAATTTGGTTCCTGGAGGCACCCCAAAACGGTTCCACACAGTGCCTTATATAAGAGATCCTCAGGAAACCTGTGTGGTTCCTCAGAGAACCTCCCCTTTTTAGAGGGTGCCTTGAGGATCTACAGACGGTTCCGTCGGTGTGGCAAAGTGAAGAATCCCAAAAGGTTCCTCCAGGCATCTTTTCTTTTTACAGTGTAGATCGATGTACCAGTTACGAGCTCTGACGTCACATAGCCCACGAAACCATACAAAACAACTACGGTTTGTTATATCTAGCTACCACAATTCCTTGCGCTCAGGTAGTTTGGCGTGACTGGCCTGGAATGCTACAAAGTTGTGAGTCGTGGTTTGAAGTTGTGATTTAAGTGCTCAAAAACCTGCCTGGAACGCAGCATAAGTCCCCATTTGCAAGGTTTGTTTTCCGCCTGGGGACGCTGGGGGGAGCGGGGAAAGTCACCATTCTCTCTCCAGAACAGGTTATTGAACCAATTCAGGTTATATTCAAATGATTTCTAAACGGTTTTATTAAGTTGAAATAGTTGCCAAGTGCCCCTTTAACCTTTAGAACCCTAAAGACGTCTAGGGGATGTTCGCAGTGCTGTTCTGGGGACGTTTTGTTAGTTGGGTAATAATAATATGTAAATAATATAAAATAATTTCAATGGTAATCTTCACTAAAAGCCAGACAATTTTGGTTTTTAAAATATTTTACTTAGTGACCTTTTAATTTGGAGCAAAAGAAACTGGGGGAGTGAATTTACTGCGTCAGATGTGTCACTTTGCTTACAGCTGATTGACTGTTTGAGATAAAGCTACATTTTATAGAAATATAATTATATTTTGACATAACCTGCCCCAGAGCAGATTAGCTGTGGAGTGCAAGTTACTATTGTGAACACTATTAAAAGCAGTGCCACTTTCATGGTGCCTAAAACCCAGGGTTGGCGCAAGCCGCTAACTAAACTGAAACAAACCTGGCTAGCCACCTAAACCAGCAATAACAACAACAACAACAACAACAATTAAATCGGTTGGTCACTGCAAAATATTTACTATAAAATTAAATATAATTTAAGTGTCAAAATTCATGGCCAATTCTAACTGGATGTCAAAGGAGAAAATTGTTCTTTCCATCTATAATGGTGTAGTAACAGCATCTACCAGGAGGTGCTGCCTGGATCACACTAACCAGCTAAACCTTGACTCTTCGGATGCTGCTGGCTGAATTATTCCTTACAAACACTGTTGAAGAAAAAAAAAAAAACTAGCAGTAAAAAAATAAAAAAAAATAAAAATTACACATTTTTTTTTACATTAAATCTGAAACTATAAATGTGCATTACAATACAAAATAAAAACGTTGCAAGTGAACTTTGAACTTCTTCAACATTTTAAACCAGCAGCTCCTATTCATTTTACAATAAAAGTTACGGTAAAATAATAAACCCAGTATGTCTTTTACAGAGAAACATTAGATAAGGATAGCCTGACTGGACTGAAAGAGGAAACACTTTTATTCTACCTAGATATAGCAATGTCACAGTGTGAGACAAAATTTGAGTGGATGATGCAAAAGCCCTAAAAGAGGGAGTTACACTTTCTTTCTTTCTTTCTTTCTTTCACCACAAGTTAAACATCTGTCTGATGCTTGTTTGACTCTCTATCAAGATGGAGCTGTCCATAATCATTCTTGCCCTCACCGTTGTTCTCTCAACTGATGCTGAATGTAAGTTTTTTAATCATTTTGGTACCGTTTTCGTAAGTGATTAAATGGAAAAAACTTCAAACTGATCACTTATAATAATGCTAACTGTTCATTCAAAACCTGATTGTGCATTTATTAGGATTGTAAATGTTTATAAATGTTTATAAGTGTTTATAAATGTTTTACTCACTTAATTTGTACTATTTTTACACAAATAAGTAAAAAGTTTTTTTCCCCAAACTCTTTGTACAAAACTTTAAATGATATGAACTAAATAATCTTCCTTAAATTGTAACAATGAATTAACAATTTAATTAATTAAGGAGAGTGGAAGAGAGTGCTGTTCATTCACTCGCGACTTAAAAAATAAATAAATAAATAAACGACATAAAACTTCTTAAAACATAAACATGAGAATATCAGAATTAAAAAAAATTGGCATATTTACAACGAATTTAAAAGCAAAATAAAGAAATCAACAAAAAACGATTGATTCAGTTTTAAAGAAAACACACCATACACCCCAATTCTCAGGCTGTAGTATGATTTTATGGTAGTGTAACCGAGCTTTTGTATTGGGTTCGCCTAAACACTTTTAACTAATAAAATAATGAAAATGGGAGACAGAAGTTCCATGAACGATGCAAACTCTTTTATTCTTCCTCTTAACTCTCCTCAAACACATGTGCTCCTCATCCACTTATGCGCATTCTCCTCCCCTCTTGCCTATGGCAAGTCCCAAAGGACAGAATGTATTACACACACATAAACAGAACATTCCTATAGCCTTAACTCTATTCCTACTTTAATCTGTTACAATAGTATGGTGTGGAGAGGAGGGTGTATTTTTCTGTCCTTGCTAACCCCGCCAATTTAAAAATAAGGTCACATCACTCAAATATATTCACAAGAAGAAAGTTACTGAATTGTTGATATTGAATTTATTAATTAAATTGGTGGAGCACATTAGTGTGCACTGCAGTAAAGGTCTCACTTTAACTTCTTTTTGAACTTCAAGCAAAATCAAATTACTAACTTAAATAACTAACTAAATGGTACGTCATCAAAGTACTGCAAGAGTGATTCGAGAGCGATTTGAGAGCAGAAGGCTGGTTCAGTCGGTGCAGTTTCTCCAGAGCAGTTACCTGAGGTCTAATTGACTAGACAGCTATTTCACTATTGGCCAGACTCACTGGCAACAATGATGACACTGAAGGCAACAGCAGTCTTTTTTTTTTTTGGAAATGTAACAAGGTTTATTAGGCAATATTAAAATGCAATAACATTACTGAAGTGATTGAAGATGTAAAGGAAACAAGCAACACAACACCCTTAATCACACAAAGAAACTAAGGCCTTGTCCACACGGACATGGGTATTTTTATAACTGGAGTTTTTCCTCCTGCGTAAAAAAAATCGTCAATAAATCGAAAACGATGGTCCACACGAAAACGCAAAAACACGCTATCAAGCGCTGTCAAGAGCATGCCACACCAGTAGGTGGCGATATAACCCTACCCGTAAAGCCACGTTGGCCAATCAGAAGCCTTACAAAAAGTTACTACCGGTTCCGGTAGGCGGATAATGGCACACAACCTGACGTCAAACAAAGCAGATAAACGGCGCACAAAAAAAGCAAGGCAAAAACCACCGTTTTACTGTCTACACGACAACACTGTAACCGGCGTTTCTGAAAATCCTCAACCTGGCAGGGATTTTCAAAAATGTTCGGTTTCCGTGACCTCACTGCTTTTCCGTGTGGGCGAACGGCCAAACCACGTAATAAAAGTCACGGTTATAAAAATACCTGTGTCCGTGTGGACAAGGCCTAACTCTTACTACAAATCCTAAAGCAAAGTGAAACTAAATTAAACCATCAGTTATCTTCCACAAATAAGATGATTGGAACCCTGTTATCATTTAGGCTTTAAAAAAAGAGACCAAAAAAAACCAAACCCAGTTCACCAAACCCAATTTAACATTAAAGTCGTCTCTTAGGAAAACCCACTAGGCCACTAACATTCTCAATAACAGTAATCGGCAATCATGCATCATCCATAAAAAAAAAATTAAAAAAAAATAAAATACAATTTATGAATGCCATATAACAAATATTAATTAAAACACTTACAACTGTTACAAACTACTAATTACAAACAATTACATCATCAAACAAACAACACCTATACTCCAATATAAAAAGTAAAAAAAAAAATAATAATAATAAAAATAAAAACTCCCAAATTCAGCTTAGCGTGTCAGGGTTAATATTTGTTTAGTTTGGTTTTTGATGTGTTTCCCTGTTCTGTTCATGTCTGAGTTTGATCAGAGCCCGTCTACTACAGAGAGCCTTGGCACTTCCTATTAGCCCCATTGTGTATCATCTTGGTTGCAGTTCCATTAGAATTTCACTGGAGGTGATCGCGGGCGAGTGCAGAATGAATGGGAGTCTATGGAGCTAAACGGCTAAATGTATCTCTTTCTCCTGCTTTTTGTTGAATCAACAGATTTTATTGTTGATTCCGCAAGTTCAACATAGATTATAGGCAAAAAGTCGAATGAATGAGTACTTTTGTCCTTTCAATTTCTTACAGGATAGGCCGTTGTTGGCCGGAACACGCTAGCATTCTGCTATTGTGTGACGTCATCACATTTTTGAACGGATTTTTAGAACAGATAAGTGAACTTAAAAATGCAATTTTCAGCTGAGTGTATTATCTTAACCCTCCCTTTTGAATGCAACTTTAAAATTACTTGACAAAAAATGACATCCTGAGAAAAGTGGATTTCTGGGGGTGAAACCCCATAGACTCCCATTCATTCTGCACTCGCCTGCGAGTAACACCTGTTACGGCAGCCAGTCCAGAAACCGGAAGTAACTAGACAGTGAACATTCTCTTCTATTAGGCTATGTTTACACGGAAACGATTCTGAAGAGAAAACACAAAAGTGACGTTGTGTCATCACTTTTTATTCTGCGTTTAGACGAGCGTTTTGTGTGGGAAATCTGTGTAAAAATGGAGATGCAAAAGTGTGTGAAATTCAATGTAGTATGCACTACATTGAGTGCATAGGAGTGCATATTACAACAACAACACCAAGTCCACGCGCCTGAGTACAACCTTCACTGTCAAGCAGACTTTTGCGTTTTTACCGTTTACACTGGAATGCGGGGTAACACTTTAGAATACGGTTCCTTCGTTAATGAATAACTACACAAGAACTAATGAGTAACACAATATTAACAATCTAGTAACTATTATTAACTAACAAGAAACTCTGATTAACGAACTAGTAAGTAATAGCACACAGACGAAAGTGGTAGTTCACTATTAAGTAATCAATAACTACTATTTTTTTAATACTTCCCAGAGAACTACTGAAAAAGTTTATTAACAATCTAGTAACTACTATTAACTAAAATAAATTCTTATTAACGAATTAGTAAGTAATAGCTCACAGATGAAAGTGTTACTAGATACTTCTGTGGGAATTACTAATTATTTGGATCCGTATTATAAAGTGAAGATTATTGGAACTAACTAGTAATTACTCAAGTGTTACTACATGATCTAGTCATGATTTGTGCAACCGTTTGAGATTTTTGGTGAACTTTACTATACTTTTAGAAAATGTCTTTAGTAACACTTGAGTAATTACTAGTTAGTTCCAATGATCTTCACTTTATAATACGAATCCAAATAATTAGTAATTCCCACAGAAGTATCTAGTAACACTTTCATCTGTGAGCTATTAATTCGTTAATAAAAATTTTGTTTAGTTAATAGTAGTTACTAGATTGTTAATAAACTTTTTCAGTAGTTCTCTGGGAAGTATTAAAAAAATAGTAGTTCTTGATTACTTAATAGTGAACTACCACTTTCGTCTGTGCGCTATTACTTACTAGTTCATTAATCAGAGTTTCGTGTTAATTAATAATAGTTACTAGATTGTTAATATTGTGTTACTCATTAGTTCTTGTGTAGTTATTCATTAACGAAGGAACCGTATTCTAAAGTGTTACCGAATGCGGCGATGGAGCGTTTTTAAGATTTTCACTCTGGAGGGTGGTTTCACTTTTTTGCATTTTTAAGCCTCAAAAACGCCATCGCCGTTTAAACGAAAGGCACATCTGATAAAATATTTTTACGTTTTCATCCGCGAGCGTTCTCGTGTAAACAGGACCTTAGACATTCTCTGGTTTGATATCTTCTAATCAGTTAATTAGTTCAGGTGTGTCTTGTTAATCTGTCTCGTTAGCTTCCCTTGATTTTCATGTGCCCTCTTCTGTCTGTTCTTGGTCAAGCTTTAGTTTACATTATGGGTATGTTTTTTATTGTTTGGCTTGTTCTATTAAAAGTTTCCTAAAGATATCTCATCCGTTATGCGCTTTAATACAGCCACATCTCATGAGACTGTGCTTCTCACTAACAAACAACTGTCTGCGTTATGACTGCGTTAACGGAGCGGGGTCATTTTCAGTGACTGTAATTGGTTGCTTGGTTGAAATTGTGAAAAAAAAATATACCAACATTAGGGCTACGCTAAACATTGCGTTTAAATAAACTGACCATAAGATAAAGTTATGCTAGCACCACAAATGAAAAACACATTCTGCCAGCTTTTTGGAAAGCTCAATGGAAAAACGGACATGTGGCAAAACGCAAAATACATAGCAATACATAACTGCAGTTTCCAACAGAAATTAACACTAAAGCCAGTAAAACAGCAAGCACTTTTTATCCTTTTCATACAAAATTATGATTACAAGGGCAAGGCCAACACTGGTAGGTGGCTGAGATGAAAGCACAATCTGATGTAGCTAATGAAATAGTCCTTAATTCAAAATAATAAACTGGAGAAAAACTTAACCACAAATACATTGACACAAAAATAAGGACTAACAGAAAGTGAAGGCTTAATGCCGAGTTCAGACTGGATGATTTTAGCCAGGATTTTGGCTTGCCGACAGGTTTTGAGAAATCGCCGACTGTCGGCGATTCAAAATCCTGCTCTGTGAAAAGTGTTTTGACTGAAAACTACATCGGTGATTACCGACAGCCAGTGAGAGAGCAAGATACAGAGCAATGGGGAGTTCGGGGAGGAGTTAGATCACATATCAACATGCATGGCATTGTTTCAGAAAAAAGGTTTATTCTCGGTCTATTTGGACCCAAGAAATGGAAGAAAAATTAGTAGAAATTTGGCAGGAGCACCCGTGTTTATTTGACGTTTCATCTGAGCTGGATCACAACCGGGTCGAAAAAGAAAAAAAAAGTCTCACGTGAGAACTCCGGTCTTGCACGTGTGATGTTGTGTTGTTTCCTTGTCACATCTCACGTGTGTTTGTTGTGAAACGTAGTTTGTGCGCAGCGTGCTAAACGGAGTTGTCGGCGATTTTTCCTATTGTTAAGTCATGCAGTGTGAAACCTTCTGTCGCCGATCCATCATGTGGTGTGAACACAGCAGCAACTGAATGCTGGCCAAGATAGTCATGCAGTGTGAAAAGAGTAGCGACCTGACTACTTTGAAAATCGTGCAGTCTGAACTCGGCATAAGTAGAAGGGCAAACAAAGGAGCTGACGAGATAATTAACAAACACCTGAAATGAGGACTTATATCAATCTGTAACCATATAAACAAACAGGGAGAGAATGAAGAAGAACTGAACTAATTAACAAAGAAACTCATAATGAACAGAACAAGAATGAGAAAGAAACTCAAAACGTGACAAAGGCAGATTATTAATAAAGACTTGTTTACACGCAGCTCCTTGCACAATATTATATTATGACCTCAAAACACTTTTTACCATAGTGCATGATTTGTAAACAAATACATTTTGGAGTTTGCATCACTTAACACTGTTGGGTAGGTTAAGGGTTTAGTGTAGGTGGTGCGCTATTTTAATTTGAGATGAAGCATTACGCTTTTAGTGCCACTCACCAGACATTTCAATTCAGAACTACGGTGATACGTGCAAAATCCAATGTAATAAAATTTTGCCATATTCATTTACATCTATTCCGGAAAAAAATAAACACACTTTTATTGCCACTCACATTGAAACTGTCGAGAAATGTATTTTGTGTTTTGTAATTACCCTGTGGTGTAGCTAATTGTCATATTAGCAAAAAGAAAATAAACAATACAAAAACCATTAAATATACTTAACAAATTAATTAAATAATGAATCACTTTTTCTGGCCTGCTACGGAGGAAGATAATGTTACTGATCGACTGTGGTGAACTTCATTTGTTGACTTCTTTCTTGTTAATCGCCGGCAAAGTTAAAACAGCCAGATCCAATCCCAATGTAGCCCTCCACTGTGTATATCTGCAGTAGACCTACATAACGTGCCCTTCCAAACAATATAATCAAATATGCATTTTTTTTCTTAGCTATTCAATGTAACACAATTGTCAACCATGAGAATTAAGTTTTATGATGCTCAATCTTTTTCAGTTGTTCATGAAGATTTCCAAATTGATATATGCTCTAATACTGAAGCAGAAGAAATGCTTGGATTTGATAACGAGGAGATGTGGCATGCTGACTTTAATCAGAAGAAAGGAGTAGAAACTTCACCTGATTTTGGAGTTCCTGTATCATTTCCATATGATGTTCGTGAAATAGCAGTGTGCAAATATAATTTAGCCTTGTGGACTAAAATTTTCAAAAGTCCACCACCAGAAATGGGTAAGACATGAGAAACTTGCTATGGACTTTTGCATTTTTAATGAATATCAACACTGCATAAACATATGAGTACAGTTCCCTTTGATAAAGATATATTAAGGGCTTTATTAATGACTAAAATATATTCACAAATGCATAAAACATTGATAGGCTGATCTAATAATATAAATAAAAAAGTCAGCTTTAACACAATATCTGTAAGCCCTTTTAAAATTGTGTTATAAAAGCTTAATAAGGATGTTTATTCATGGTTACTTATTTTAATCAAAACCAATTGATTTATACCATGATCCAGGAAAAATAGAACTTTACATTGAGATTGATATAGATGTTGGGTTTATGTTCTTTACTGTAATGCCTAAACTCAGTGAATGTGTTTCATGATGAGAACACTTAATCTTTCTGAAAAAATAAATAAATAAATGAATGAATTTAGCTGCTGGATTTAACATGCATCTAGTCAAGTGTCATCAATTTTTCCCTTAAAAGTTTATACAATTGAAATACAGTTACGATATCTGCATTTACTTGAATGAACTAATGCATAGTTATCTGTGATTCTAGATGCACCAAAGACTTCCATCTATCCAAAGGATGATGTACAGCTGGGTTTTAAGAACACTCTTATCTGTCATGTGACCGGCTTCTATCCTCCATCTGTCAGCATCTCATGGACTAAGAACAATGTTAATGTGACAGAGGGTTTGAGTTTAAGCCAGTACCGCCCAATGAATGATGATACTTACAACATCTTTTCTACTCTTGAGTTTACACCCATTGAAGGAGATATTTACAGCTGCACTGTGAACCACAGAGCCCTCCAGGGTCAACCTCAGACCAAAACATGGGGTGAGTGAGATTCAGATTGAATGCGTATTTCAGTTCTCTTCCAGTTCTTCATTCTGTTAAAATGATCTGTTCAGCTGTTATCATATTGATGCATATTCAAATATCCTGCATTTTCTAGATGTTGATGTAGCCCTCCCAGGTGTTGGCCCAGCTGTGTTCTGTGGAGTGGGTCTGACTCTGGGACTGCTGGGAGTCGCAACGGGAACCTTCTTCCTTGTTAAAGGAAACAACTGCAACTGACTATGGAGTCATGGAAGAAAACTATGCAAATGTCTCTTAATTGATTTGCAGCGAATTAATTTAAAAACAATGCTACTGTGCACTTTTGTGTCACTCATGGAAGATAACTTGTTAATGTAAAAGATAGATAAATGCTAAAATTTTGAAGGTTTAAAAGACTTTAATTGAAAAAAAAGAAAAGAAAAAAGGTTAGTGGATATTACATTTACAGATCACTTTGCAATTTGCATAATAAGTATTATACTAAAAACACTTTCTCAATGTTACCACTCCTGCTAAATGTAGTTTCTTTCTGGGTGAATTAAAATATTTTATGTAAAATTAAAACGTTTAAATTAAACATACATTTGAATGGGGTAGAATTTATGTAATTTTTGTAATCCATTACAATCAATTTACTATAGGTAAATATTGTCCTTTTAATTTTATGATATGCATCAAATAAAGGAGAATTGGAGCTGTTTGTACTATCTTACTGTGTTCTGTTGATAAAAAAAAAAAATCTAATGTATATCTTATATTCTTTTATGTGTCTGTAAAATCAGGTATATTTCAGGTTATGCAAAACCTAATTAAACACTTTACATTAAGAAATATGATATGTCTGTGTAATTGGGTCCCTATTTTTTTTTCTAAAGCAAGTGGTACTTTATTTTACAGTCCTGCACATACTATTATAGTACTAGTAATAACTGGGTAATAACTACTAACCCTGAACCTACCCTATTTTTTTAAGATTTCTTTTTTTTTAGGCATTAGTTGATACTGTGATGTGGCTGAGTTTTCCACATTTTTATCAAAATAGCAGAAAACTAAAAGCATCATGCATGCTCATGCATTATTACAATACAATTCTGGAGAAGTTATTCATAATCTGTAACAGTATTATAAAGTGAAAATATTGGTAAGCCATGAGAAATAAATAAGGTTGTGTTAACACAAATATGAATGAATGAATGGATGAATGAATGAATGAATAAACAAACGAACGTACGAACAAAACGAACGACACAACAAATCTGTGTCCCCACAGCACCTCCACCTGGCATGGCGACCCTAAGCACCCCTCCAATGCCTGTAGGTTTTTTGTCTACTCCGGTGGCAAAGACCTATAGAGCTGCGGGGAAGGCTGCCACCTCAATGCATGTTATTTCCATCCTTCTGGGTGCTCAATGACATGCATGAGGGTAGGGCTGATTCAGGGTTCATCCAAGAGCTGCCTACCATCACCGACCTTGTTCTACGAGCGGCGAAGGTGACCGCACGCTCACTGGGTCAGGTGATGTCCACATGGTCAGACACATTTCTGGCTTAACCTGGTTGATATGCGCGAGGCTGAGCAAACCCGCTTCCTCAACTCCGACCATATCCCAGGCTGGCCTCTTTGGCGGCGCGGTCAAGGACTCTGCCCAACAGTTCTAAGCCACCCAGAAGGCGAACCTGTTCTGACCTGTTCTACCAAACATGTTCTGAGCCCGCTGCCAGCTGCTGCCACACAGCTGCCGGCTCAGACGCCTCATGGCCCATACACACCGGGACGAATATCAGCGCGCGTTATTCGTCAGCGTTTTTCAACGCGTTTTTTGTGTTCACACCCAAGCGTTTTTCGCTGACGATGAGCTGAGTGAACATGCAAATTCATTCCCTGACATTAGATGGCGCTTAATGTAAAACAGAAATAATAATAGAATACTATACTAGGGTGATCATATTCATGTCTCAATGTAATGTTTTATTATGACAGATAGAAAAAAACGAATGAAATAATGATAGAAATAATGTCTTCTGTATTAGAAAAATAAATATATAAATAATAAATAACTAAAAGAAATGCCTCCAAATGTAACAAAAAATAGCTCTCACAAACTTACAAAAACGAACTAACAAAATCTATTTATAAATATAAATATCTTTAGTTTTCATCCTCTTTATCTTGTTTTTCTTCCTCGTCCACCTTTTTTGCCCATCTATATTTTGCTGTTGAACTGATCTTTCCCAGCAGTTTTTTTTTTAAACCAGGACATTTTCATCACTTAAAAACAGTCAGGACAGGACGTGGAAACAGGACATGTGTAACGCAAAGTGGAGATGTTGCCCAGAGATAAAAACATACCAGTTGTCGGATGAACAGATGCACGAGAGACGAGAGTTGTCGTATTTCCCCACGTTTAATAAAACCACTCAAACGTTACACTTGTCCTCCTCATACACGGGGATCGAGCGAGAAAAAAAAACACAAACAAACATCTGGTCACAATAGAAAAATAAAATAAAAGAAAGAATACAAAGAGTCGGCAGAGGTTATCTATCTCCTCTCCTCACTTGTCAAAATCTAACTGACACACGCACATATGCGCAGTTCTCATCTCAACTCAGATTTCTATAAAGCACAAAGTGACCGTTTTACACATGTCCTGGGAAAAAACAGGACTATTAGTCACCCTATACTATACTATTATTACAGAAATACTAATATAAATATTATCATACAGCTCTTTATGCTCCGAGACCAGCAGCGCAACATTCATCTTGCCCATAGGTATCTTATCTCTTCTTCGCCGTATGTGTGCTCGGCAAGACCGTTTTGTGTTCGCGCGCCCCCAAGTTGTGTTTTACTGTAACTCCAGAAGCACCAGACACGTGAGCAAACCCGCCAATCTCGTTGGTCGGATAGGTTTTGACGCGGCGCGTCAAACCAAAAAAACGAACCCGAGGCGTTTTTTTTAAAAAATGACGCTTTTACGCGTGGCGTTTTTCGCGTCGGTGTGAACACTCACATTGGCGCCCATTGTTTAGTCACGAGGCGTTAAACGTCGACGAATAACGCGCGCGAAATTCGTCCCGGTGTGAACAGGCCTTCAGTCCGCTTGCCGCCGAAAGCGCCCTCCTGCGACTTCCGCCCCCAACCGGCTCCAGCAGCACCAGGCCGCGCCATGGAGTTGGTTGCAGGAAGGCATCCCTGCCCGCACCAGCCCCGCAGCAGTTCTTCTTTGGTTGCAGGGCCACTCCTTCCCCCGGTGGAGGGCCGTGTGAGAATCTCTATTCCAAAGAGCTGCATCCCATATCTGAGCTCACAGACGGCGCAGACGGCAGTGCACGCCGCTTACGGGCTTCGCCACTCTAGTCCCCCTCTGTCCCAGAGTTCTCGGATGACAGTGTTTGCCGTCCCCGGGCCGTACCACTCTCATCCCCCTCTGTTGCCAGACCCCTGGCAGAGCTGGGTCCTTCCCTGGCCTCCTCTGTCAGTTTGCGATCACACCGGGCCGCTATGCTGTCCACGTCCAGGCCTGTTATTCTGCTTCGCTGCACCTCCGAGGGGACGTCTGTGGTTCGCGTGACCCCACTGGCACAGTCCTTGGGAGCCTGGCTAGAGCTTCCCAACCTGTCCTGCTGGGTCACACGAACCATCTGGCTCGGCTCTGCGATTCAGTTTGCACGTTCAGTTCAGTCTCCTTCCCGCTTAAGGGGAGTCCGCTCTACTATGGTCAGTGGCAATGCCCCTATCATGAGAGCAGAGGTTGCTACCCGACTGGCGAAGGGTGCGATCGAGATTGTCCCGCCAGCTGAAATGAGGTCCGGGTTCTACAGCCACTACTTCATTGTCCCGACGAAATCCACGGCCAAACGCATATTCGAGTGTGTGCGGCCCCAGGATTAGTTTGCAGCCTAAAGGACACCTACTTCCATGTCTCCATTCTCCCTCGACACAGACCATTCCTGCAGTTTGCTTTCGAGGGGCAGGCATACCAGTACACGGTTCTCCCTTTCGGGCAAGCCCTGTCTCCTCGCGTTTTTACGAAGGTCGTCGAGGCAGTCCTTGTCCTACGGGAACGTGGGGTTCACATCCTGAACTATCTCGATGACTGGCTGATCCTAGCTCACTCTCAAAACCAGGTGTGCGAACACAGGGACCTAGTGCTCCGGCACCTAGCTCGTCTGGGCCTTCGAGTCAACTGGGAGCAAAGCAAACTTTGCCCCGTGCAGAGGATCTCTTTTCTCGGTATGGAAATTGACTCAGTCGCCATATCCGCACAGCTTACGAGCGAGCGCGCACAGTCACTGCTGACTTGCCTGAGACAATTCAGGCACAAGAGCGTGGTTCCACTGAAGTTATTTCAGAGGCTCCTTGGGCATATGGTATCTGCAGCCGCGGCAACGCCGCTCGGATAGCTCATGTGAGACCGCTTCAGCTCTGGTTTTGCGACCGAGTCCCGAGGTGGGCATGGCAACACGGCACGCTCCGAGTACCAGTTACTCCAATCTGCCATCAGACCTTCACCCCGTGGACGAACGTGCATCGTGGGTGGCTGGTCGTAAGAGAGGAGAACACGCCTCAGTCCATCCCCATTTGGGCGCACTACTGTTCCTCCACGATGCCTTGTAAGTATACAATTATGTTTGTAGGCCATGCCTATTTTGTTTCAAAACTCGTAGCCCGCCTGCTGGCTGGCTGTTTGAGTTCTTTTTATTTATTATTGTGTTAAGATTTTTATTAAAACAGGCATGGCGTTAGCTACTTTCCTTTGAAAATAGTTAGCAACACTGCACTTGCGCGCATTTCAGACGTGATACTAGACCAGTGGTGGAGGAAGTACTGAATCTCAGTACTTAAGTAAAAGTACAAATACCCAGGTAAATATTTACTTTAGTAAAAGTAGAAGTAACACAATGACAACCATACTTAAGTAAAAAGTAAAAAGTACTTTATTTTAAATGTACTTTAAGTATTAAAAGTAAAAGTACTTGCATAACAATTTATTATCTTAATGTCTATTTTCTAATGATTAATAAAACATTTAATTCTAACTCATTCAACCTAATAGCCTACTCCTAAAATGATGTTCAATAATGATGGAAAAAAAGTCACCATTTCTGAAACAAGCTTGCAATTAGGCAATATCATGCTTATCCTTACTATATGTTAATAACTATGTTTGGCAGTAGACGCGATTCATTTATGGTGTAATTCTGAACCTCTTGGCTTGCCATAATCCTAACCAAACGTATATTACACAGGGTGTGTTTCCTATGCACGTAAAAACAAATTTTCGCGTATGAGTTGCATGAAAAACACACTGCGTGTGAGACGCATTTAGTTGATGTATCTATGGCAACCAAACGTCACTGGTGAGACAAACGTGTAACGAACGGACGGTCAGATTACGTTTTGGCAGGGGAAAAACTGATCAGAAAATGTAACGAAAATGTAACAGAAGTTGTAGAAATGTAGTGGAGTAGAAAGTAGAATAATTGCTGCAAAATGTAACGAAGTAAAAGTAAAAAGTATGCACTATTTATTGTACTTAAGTAAAGTAAAGATACGTGAAAAATGTACTTAAGTAAAGTAACGAAGTATTTGTACTTCGTTACATTCCACCACTGTACTAGACGATGGAAAAAGCAAAGAAAACGTGGTCGGAAGACTAGGCAAAGGAAAAGAGAATCTGACCGCGTGAGAAACCGGACAAAAGTCACTCGGTCGAGCTTTTCACTCGTTGGCGTGAGCTAAAAAGCAACACTGGATGCAACAGTGATGCTGACCTGGCGATCTAGTTGATGGACTAGTAAGTAAATCTTTATAAGTTTTGTGTGCATTTTATTATGTGATTTCACCGGAATGAATAAGGCCACTGCAACGGCGATAGATTGAAGAGCGCGTCCGAGTCGGGCAGATAATTCATGTTGATGTGTTGAGTTACATCGTGTCCGGGCTTTAAAAGCCACGGGCCGGGTCGGGTTATAATTTTAAGGCCCGTTGAGAACTCTAGTCTGGAGGAATTATAATGTGGAACAGAATTCTTAGTGAAAACAATTAATAAAGCATTTACACAAATCTGAAGGAATAAGTATAACAATCTGATATAGTATTCTAAAGTGAAAAAAAATGGTAACCCATTAGAAATGAATACCATTAATACACAAATTTTGGAACAGTGTTTTAAGATCAAAACTCCAACACATAATGACTGTATGAATCACTAGCTAAATGTAATGGCTAAGATAAATATAGTAACAATGTTGGTTAATGATGATGATTATCCCTTTTGGTGAAAAAGGCTACATCTTTGGACTGTAGTAAATCCACCAATTGCATCATGATCGTGATCATCATCATCATCATCATCATTATCAAGTTATTGATTAGCTAACTGTTACTTACCACAATAATCAAATACAATTAGTTAGCACATCTTCTTTATTAGTTAATAGTAGTGATCTCATGTAGCATTAACTTATTTGGTTAACACTTTTTACAGTGTCTTTGTTACACCTGTAGTTACTGTAGTAATAACTATAAATTATTAATAATTACATGCAACTAACCCTAAACCAAAACCCAAATCCTAAACCTATAGGAAGTTAATTATTAGGAGTGCCAGAGATTGTCTCATTTGTGAGAGCATAACTTTCTCCATGGCTCTATAACTCTGCATGGCCAACTTGGAATATGGGTGTATGTAAAATAAATCATAAATCAAATCACATTATAGCTCTGACGTCACTTAATCACTTTCAGAGTTTTACAATAGTCAATCCACAGTTTGTGCATACCACTGAAATTATCAGACTGTAATGTTGCAAATAATAACTGTTTGCTAAATTATCTGTGACTTCTATAAAAAAGTGATCTATTTGATGCAGACCCCAAGTAAAAATCCAAACTGAAAATGGCATGCGGACATATTGAGGATTAGAACCCAGGCAGTCAATTTATTATCTATTGATCTTTTTTTCACACAAAGGTTTATTCAGTTATACTGAAACATTTCCATTGACTTCTATTCAAAAATGGATTTTGTCTTCTTACCAGTTTTAACATGCATTACATTTTATTCTGCAAACAGTAGAGGTTTCCCCTATAGGGAACAGGCTCTGACTAAACAGTTCATAAATAAAATAGAAAACATGATTGGTTTTGGAAAAAGATTTGTTTAAAGGTAGTGTCACCGGGCAAACAAACCAGGAACCAAAAAAAGTGTTGACTCGTTTCCAGGGGGAAGAAATGCCAGTGTAACACCGGGCCGCCTTTACACATCATGGCCGCCGACCATGACGAGCGCCAGCTGAAGCCAATGAGTAGTGCTTTGTTGAACCACATGCCCGGGAAAAAGGAGTATCCACAAGTTTCCGAGGGGCGCTCCTGTAAAAAATAAAGTGGGTGAAACTTCCGGTGACGCGGCGGAAGTAGCATTCCAATGGTATTTTGTGTGTTAGTTAGCGAAGAGGCTAGCTGTTTTTCGGAGAATTATTTTACTATTTAAAGACGCAAATCTATATAAGAGATGTCGTTACGGAGCTCAGGGACAACATGTGCTGTTCGCGGTTGTATGTATAGCCGGACTAAACTAATTTAGTGGCTTAAACGGGATTGTTTTGAACATAAGCTGAAAACGAAATCAGAGTGATCCTGCAGAGCCCATCTCTGATCCTGCCAACGACTGTAGTTTCCATCACCTCCCAAAAGACGACGAATCTTCCTGTGTACATTTGTTTAAATTCTTAATGTTCTATAAACTCTATCAGCATGTGTTTGGCTGTTCTCTACTGATGTTACAGCTAAACTCAGGATCAAAGCCTGTGTTGACAGAATACCAAATGTGCCAGTTAATGTATTCAAGTAGCACATTCATTTATAATTTTGAATAAACTCCAAAGCACAACGACTAAGTGTGTATTTTTTATTTTAATTGTTTGTCAGCTCGCACAACTGTCTGTCACCATGCCTTGATGAGTATTGATTATTAATAATGTTATTATAATACTCCCAATCAACTACTGTGGAGGGTAAAGGTACTGTTATTTCACCCTTTTGAATTTCGTTGAGGTTGTGTTCCCACATCGTTAGCTAGTTTGGATCGCTATAACTTGAATGACTGTCAACTGTTGAATGAACGAGTGTCAAGCATGTCAAATCGCGCTTTGTTTACTTCCAACCGGAAGTCGCGCCCACTTTTGACGCAAGGCCTCATGGGGCGTAGGAAACTTGTGGATAAAGAGAGGGGCTTGAAGCACAGGAGGAAAAAAAATGTCCTGGCAGTAGGAAAGCTCCACACGAGTGCTCGAGCGGATTGTAGCAGCGACAGTGAGCGGCGGCAAGTGCGGAAAGCTGAGGTTTAAGGCCGGATCGGTGTTCCATGTTGGGTCCCCCGAGGCATGCTCATTAAGTGAGCCTTTTTAAGAAACCATGAACAGCAAAGCAACGAAGTAAGTGAGAAAACTTCCCAGAGGAAGAAGGAGAATAACTCGGAGAAAAGAGAGTGGAAACACGCTGTAGGAAGTTAAGTGCACCCTTTTATTATTCACCTCTGGAGAAAACCACTGAGACCACAATTCCTTTTATCATCCATCATATGAAGAGAAGACGAGTTGATTAATTGCTGTGAGTAGATAGAGTGAGTTTGCAGTGTCTGAAAGAGTGAAATAAACACATGTGGAGATTTACAAGAATGATTTGTGCACAAGTGTGGTGAGATCAAACAACTGTGTTCTCTTTAAGTCTCTGATGGATGAAAGTGACCCATAACTTTGAAGATTCGTTCAAACTGATCTGTCCTCTCAGTTGTGTCCAGTTTTCTGAGATTTTGTGCATGGTGCGGAGGAGAAAAGCTCAACACACCTTTATTGCCACAGTCCATGAGCACTGTTTCCCACAACAAAGAAAGTCCAGTCTCACTATCTCCCCCAACACACACAGAACGAGAGCGAAGGCTGGTAAAGTATCCCGTTTCTGTTTCCCTTACTACTGTCCGCCTCACTGTCAAATTGTCTGCTCCTTGCAGGAAGCAAGAGCCACTGTCCGTCCCACGAGCTTATTCAACGAGTCAGATGACGAGAGAAGCCACTTTCTATCCCATGAGCTTATTCAACGAGTCTGACGATGAGAAGAGCCACTGTCTGTCCCACGAGCTTATGCAACGAGTCTGACAACGAGAGAAGCCACTTTCTGTCCCACGAGCCTATCCAACGAGTCTGACGACGAGAAAAGTCACTGCCTGTCCCACGAGTCTATCCAACGGTCTGACGACGAGAAAAGCCACTGTCCGTTCCACGAGCTTATTTAACGAGTCTGACAACGAGAAGAGCCACTGTCTGTCCCACGACTTTATGCAATGAGTCTGACAACGAGAGAAGCCACTGTCTGTCCCACGAACTTATGCAATGAGTCTGACGACGAGAGAAGCCACTTTCTATCCCATGAGCTTATTCAACGAGTCTGACAACGAGAAGAGCCACTGTCTGTCCCACGACTTTATGCAACGAGTCTGACAACGAGAGAAGCCACTGTCTGTCCCACGAACTTATGCAATGAGTCTGACGACGAGAGAAGCCACTTTCTATCCCATGAGCTTATTCAACGAGTCTGACGATGAGAAGAGCCACTGTCTGTCCCACGAGCCTATCCAACGTGTCTGACGACGAGATCGAGTCCACCCAGAAAGGGATATACTTACCTGAAGAACAGAAAAGTCAACGCATTCTCATCCTTTAGCGTCATTTAGAACGCTATATGACAAAACGGCGCTATACTACGCACATGGCACCCGTTATCGTTAATATAACACGCGCTGTGATGATTTGGTTTAGGTGTGGGGTAGGGTAGTCTCAAATTACGCGAAAGGATTTATGACGCCTTGGGTTCGCGTGAATATTAACGATAAAGGGTGCCATGTGCGTAGTATAGCGCCGTTTTGTCATATAGCGTTCTAAATGACGCTAAAGGATGAGAACGGGCTGGAAAAGTACCTACCAGCACTCCCCTCCCCTTATATCGCCAAAGCTATAGCCACGAACGTCCCTGCCCCTAGCTGCTTTTATCCCTTTTTAAACTTATTAAAAACTTACCTTTTAAATTCACTTCGGTTGACTGCCTCTTGGTGTCCTCTGGTGTCTGCTCCTCCGGAGTGTGGTAAATAACCCTTGGCCTTAACCTCGGTGACAGTAGCAGTTGTCACGGTGCATAATCTTTGTGTGCTATTATTGATGAAAAATATATAGATCATTTGTCTAGTAAGGATTATATGAGTTTTTACACACTGCAGCTTTTGTTTAATTTAGTCATTAAATAATGCCATTAAATAATGTAACAATTGTCCAGATTGATAACTGAACAGTGTTTGTGTTTTTAAATGAAAGCAGGATACTACCTAGCAACACTTGACACTTACACATGCAGTGACTGGTTGGACAGTCATGTCAGACATCCACCTCATGAACATGAACAAAGCACTGGCAGCATTCAGCTGGAAGTCAGTGTGAGTCAACATGTCACTGCTAAAGCTCTTCAGTTTTCATCTCATATTCACACTGTCTGTGTTCACTCTAGCAGAAAGTGGTAAGTAAAATAAGAGGTATTAAAATTATAGAATTAAATATCAACAATAATTACATTAATTTTAGAAGTAAAAGTAAAATTATTTACATTATTTTGCAACATTTGCTTAAGAAGGGTGACTGGTTGGACTATCTAAAGTAGATATTACTTGAAAGGTTTGTTTTTAATAGGCTGATGTACTGTATCAACATTCTTCTGTTTCTATATTGATTACATAATTATTTGACAAAACCAATTGTTCTGCTTCTGCATTCTTTTTCAGCTGATGAATATTACACAAGACGTTGGTTAAAATGCATCTACAGCTCCCCTGATCTCAGTGACATGGTGTATATTGATGGCCATTATTTTAATAAATATCTATTCACACAGTTCAACAGCACTCTGGGGAAGTTTGTGGGGTTTAGTGAGTATGGAATGAGAGTTGCAGAGTACTGGAACAATGGCAGCTTTCTGCAGGCAGAGATAGCTGGTGTTGATGGATTCTGCAAATATAATGCTCAAATCTATGATTCGACTGTTCGTGAGAAAGCAGGTAAGTGGCACAAGACCCTTCTCTGATCTTTACTCTCGCAGATATAACTCTTGGTTTTAACATGCTGTTACTTTTACAGAAGCATATTTGCTAATATTAAATATGAAAAATGTTTTAATATCAGCATGGCATTTTTATTTTTAGATGAAAGGTATGCATTTTATGTAAAAATAATTAATATTTCTAGGGTTTCTTTAATAAGTGTTTCTTTTGTTAAATCTCCTGCCACCCCCCCCCTCCCTCCCTCCCTCTCCTTCTTCTTCTTCTTCTTCTTCTTCTTCTTCTTCATCCCCCTTTCACCTCCTTCACCCCCACACATATGAGACATGCATTGGAAACTGTGTTTAGGATGTTACTCTTCTTGATTCAGTGAAACCAAAGGTTAAGCTCAGTTCAGTGACGCAGGCTGGTGGCAGACATCCAGCTGTGTTGATGTGCAGCGCATATGAATTTTATCCTCAACACATCAAAGTGTCCTGGCTGAGAGATGGTAAACTGATGACATCTGAAGTGACCTCAACAATGGAGATGGCTAATGGAGACTGGTACTACCAGATTCACTCTGAGCTGGAATACACTCCTAAATCTGGAGAGAAGATCTCCTGTTTGGTGGAGCACGCCAGCTTCAATAAACCCATGATTTATGACTGGGGTAAGAGGAGATACTCGCCTAATATCATATTAGTATTACATTTGTGAAGGGTATATTTGGACACGCCAATGTAGGATCAAATAGAAAATATGAAATAGTCCTCTTATTACGGAAACACACATATATTTGTAAATATTCTAATAATGTAAAGTGATGTGTGTACAGACCCCTCCCTTCCGGAGTCTGAGAGGAATAAAATCGCTATTGGATCCTCTGGTCTGGTGCTGGGAATCATATTAGCAGCTGCTGGATTCATTTACTACAAGAAGAAATCATCAGGTCAGTTTAGATTTAAATCATTCAGATTGATATTAGTGTGTGTACATCATTCCTGTACATGCATGTTTATTTTTCAAGATGTATTTCTTTTTGCTTTGACAGGGAGGATCCTAGTACCTAATTAATGATGGTAGGTTTATCATTGTGTATTTAATAACTCAGACTCAGTTGTCAAACTCAGTCACATGATTAATAATTATCCTCATACTGACTGCAAGTGGACTAATAATGGAGCATTCACCCTTTATGCAACTATACACAATACTCATTTTAACAATCCTTGATGTTTCATTTTTTAAAAGTTTAAAACAACAATGACATATAGCATCAAATCTGATACTTATTTTTCAGTGAGCTTTACATGAAGATCATTTTTGAGCATCTTACACTATGCAATGTTGGCAGTGATTGAAAATGATGTGTGGAATATAAAGATAATAAAGCTTAATGTTCAAGTTTCTCATGTTCACAATAATGTAGCCTATATATAAGCAAATATTTGATAATGTTGAAATGGAAACTCTAAGTCTTTATTGTTACTGGATTAATTATACCTGTACAAACAAATAAAGCATCTGATGAGCATATTTACTCCTCTTTCTTTATATAAAAAAAAAATATTAGAAGTGAATGTATAAACGTATACATGTCACGTAATTGATCTTTGAAGAAATGGCATATTGAGAAAACACTTATGTCCTAAATGCTCCTAATGAGGCTCTTCATTTCTGCTTTCAAAATGTTTGACAAAGAACATTGTCTTGATTCTCATGTACATTTCAGACATAAATAAATGTTTCTTCAAAAATTGTAGAGAGATAAAAACAAAACAAAAAACTTTCTATGATTAATGAGGAGAAATTAAAAGATGAAATTACTATTTGGCTGATAAGAGGTAATCACTGAAATTAGTTTTCATGTCATGTGAGTGTACATAATTCTAAACATTTGAAAACTGATGGAAACTTAATGTAAAATAAAATAATGCTGAGAAATGTTTCTGAGTGCATCTTTAAATTCATTAAACTGCCCAAGTTGCAGTAGAGGTCAATTTAGGATTTTGTTGGTTCACACTGTTCTTTTCCATAATTGGTTTATTATTAAGAAGCAGGCTTAACATTAGTCCTGAGTTCTGATATTGGCAAAAAAAAAAAAAAAATCGTGAATACACGAAAACATCTGATGATACAAAAAAGAAAAAAAAATCAGTACAGAGTTATGTAATAATTTCTCATTATAAACAAACATTTTTTTAAAAAAATATATGTTTTTAAAAGAAATCACTTTAGGCGGCAAATGCTCTCTTTTCTTCCATATTAAGATTAAAGTCACTCATTATCTCTTTTTTCTCAACATGCAGTGGTTTAAAAAAGTTAGAAGAGTAATTTTTTTTCCATAAACAAATTACATTAAGCCCCTGACAGTGTGAAAAAGTTGTTACATGTAGTTAATAACTATAAATTATGCATAATTACATGCATCTAACCATAAACCAAACCCTAATCCTAACCCTATAGACCTTATGTAGCCCCGCCCCTTTTCAGTGCTGCGCTCGTTGTCTTTTGACTTCCGGTCTGTATTTCCACAGCGATCTTGAATAGGTATGAATGAACTGCTCGCAAAAAAATTCTCGTTCGACATTTGTTTAGACATCTGCTTTAGAATGCTTATGATAAACATTACAATGCTCATGATAACTTTTGTTAACTCTACAATAAGTAAATCCACTTCACCAGCTAATTACTCATCGACAGCACTGCCATAAAAATATACAGAACCGGAAGTTCAAAGACAATATTCTAAAGATGACGGCGCCCACGTTTCTCTGGTGCATAAGGTCTATAGTAAGTACATGTAGTTAATTAGCATTACTCTGTACTTAAATGTATAATTACAGTGTAACAACAACACCTTAAAATAAAGTGTAACCAAAGTTATTCACTAAATCATTTTAAGTTAAACATGATATTTCTTCAAAATGAAAAACCCATTTTTGTCAGCAAATGCACTGGGCCTCTATCCTCCAGAACGTGGTTGGGTCAAGTCTGCAACATCCATCACTCAGTGTCAGCTCACCTCCTCTGTTCTCTCCTTAATGTAGCTGCTTATAGCTCTCTTTTATGTGGCTGCTAATTGGCCCAACAGCCTGCAGCTGAGGCTCTCTGTCAGAGGGGAAATTGTGCACACCTGTGTTGGAGCTGTCCTTGGTCCTGAACCTCACTGTGCAGCCCTGACCTGTGTCTTCCTCTGATGATGCTCTCCATGGTGCTGCAACATGCATCAAAATCAGAGCAGCCTCTTCTGTCGAGTGTTTTAAATCATTGTTAAATACTCACCTTTTTGCATTGGCGTTTAATATCAGATGAGCTGTGACATTTTATTAATTGTTGTCTGTTTTAAATATTTTTGAAATAGTCGTTTCTAAATGTTTTTGAATATTTATTGTGTTTTATTTTGTTATTTCTTGTACCTGTACAGCACTTTGAGGCAGTAGTGACTGCTTGTAAATGTTCTTTATAAATAAACCTTGACCTTATCTTTAAAATAATGGAAGTGTGTTTCTATTTATCAATTTTTGCAATTACTGGAATACATTTCCATATCAGATATGCATGCATTGCAATAAATAAATAAATAAATAAATAAATAAAAAATTGGATATTTCTCTAATCGGACAAAACCATTTCAGGTCTAGAAGTCTCTACCAATGAGCTGATGAGTTGAATCAAGTGTCTGATTGGGGATACATTCAAAATGTGCAGAGTCAGGATTATTCCAGGACTAGGGTTGGGAACCACTAATCTACAGTATAACACAGTTGCAGTGGGCTGTTTGGTGACAGCCCACAGCATAATTTATGATTGGTTAAACAATGAAGAAAGGTATACCTATGTGACCTCTGAGTGTTCAATTTTACTGCATTTTAACTAAACTGCATTTTAATGACCTTACAGCTTTAATTTAAGAGTTTTGTTTTTACATATATGCATTTATATAATTTATTCCTTGGTCTTATTTTAGTCTAAATATTGTCTTTTTTTAAGACAGTTTAAATCAAATATTGATTATTTCAATTATGTGTATTTTCCCTCCCCTTTCTAAATTACCAACTTTACCTAGAAACAGATGACACATTTTTCTTATTCAGTAGCTGGTTGAAGGGATTCTCCAAACTGGTTCTCCAAAATTTCTTCAAACTGGTTTGTATCTGTAATGCTTATCTAACTGTCTGAAGCTGGTGGTTTAGGGTGGGGGATTTTCTTGCAATATTAATTGCAGTTTTGTTTTTGAATATGTTGTATGAAACTAATCACATTTCTTTCCCAACCATTAACAATGGAAATAAAGTAAAGTAAAATTAATTTTTCGTGACTATTTTTCCATTCTGTTGGCCTAAAAACTAAACACATAGAACGTCCTCGGGTTACGACTGTAACCCTTGTTCCCTGAGAAGGGAACGAGAACTGCGTCCAAGTGACACTTTGGGGGAACGCCCCTCAGCGTAGCGTCTCTGAAGCATGAATGAAACTAAGCCAATCTCCGATTGGATCAACGTGATGACGTGATGTGTGACGACACATAGGCGGAAGCATATATAAGGAACCGGCACACACAACATGTCAGCTTCTGTGATGAAGCAAGCGCTCCCAGGCAGGGGAAGGCGTGGCCACGAGACGCAGTTCTCGTTCCCTTCTCAGGGAACAAGGGTTACAGTCGTAACCCGAGGACGTTCCCTATCGAGGGAACTCAAACTGCGTCCAAGTGACACTTTGGGGGAACGAGTACCCACTACGCCACAACGCGCCCTGCCTGTCCTGGTGTGAAGCTGCTCACAGGCACACTCAGGACGCGAGCACAAGAGAGCCGGGTGTCGACGGAATGTCTAAGCTGTAAAACCTAATGAAGGTATGTGGGGTAGCCCATCCAGCTGCATCGCAGACTTCCTGGATGGGGGCCCCTGCGAGAAGGGCCCTAGAGGATGCTATGCCTCTAGTGGAATGGGCCCTCACAGCCAAAGGTGAAGGCACCTGATAAGCTGTGGAAATCGCATTGACAATCCAGTTGCTGATGGTTTGTTTTGAGGCCGGAAACCCCTTTTTGGGCGACCCGAAACATACCAGCAACTGGTCCGCCTTCCGCCATGAAGAGGACCTCTGAATATATATCCCTAGTGCTCTGACAGGGCAGAGCCTATGAAGTCTCTCCTCATCCGCCGTCAGGTGAGGTGGGGGATGAAATGCCTGCAGAACCGTAGGCCGTGCCACATTATTTTTTTTTTATTTTTTATTTAACCTTTATTTTACCAGGTAGGCCGATTGAGAACAAATTCTCATTTACAACGGCGACCTGGCCAAGATAAGGTGATTAAAGTGCAAGACAACAATAAGTTACACAATAAAAAATACACAGAGCACAAAAGACAGAGAGAGAAAAAAAAAAAAAAAAAAAAAAAAAAAAAACACACAATAAGACAATACGGGTTCAAAAAAAAAAAAAAAAAAAAAAAAAAAAAAAAAAAAAAAAAAAATACATATAACTCTATTAGGAACCAAAATTAAAACACTCAAATGTCAAATGTTTTATGATAAAAAGGTATAAATAAATAAAAACAACTCTGACAGATGGCACCTTAGGCAGATAGCCAGGCCTAGGGTGAAGGATGGCCTTAATGTTGCCTGGAGCAAACTCCAGGCACTCGTTAGATATGGAGAGCGCCTGAAGATCTCCCACCCTCCTCAGAGAAGTGATGGCCAACAGAAAAGCGACCTTCAGCGTTAGGTTCTTGGCCTCAGCCGACTCCAGTGGCTCGAAGGGGGCCTCAGCCAATCCTTCTAGAACCACTGCCAGGTCCCAAGAGGGAACCCTGGTACGAGCCGCAGGTCTCATCCTCCAAGCTCCACGGAGGAAACGTACGATCAATTGGTGTCTCCCCAGAGACCCATCACCCAACGGAGCGTGGAAAGCCGCAATGGCAGCCACGTACACCTTGAGCGTAGACGGGGTAAGACCAGAGGAGAAGCGATCTTGGAGGAACTCCAGCACTGAAGCCACTGGGCAGTTAACTGGGTCAACCTCAATAAAAACCTACACCAATCAATAAACACATTCCACTTTAAACCATACAGTTTCCTCGTGGAGGGAGCTCTAGAGCTGAGTATGGTCTCCACTACTCCAGCTGACAGGCCGGCCTCTAGGTACTGTGCCCCCTCAGGGGCCAGACCCACAGTTTCCATAACTCCGGCCGAGGGTGAAATATTGAGCCCCCCGCCTGTGTCAGCAGGTCCCTCCTGAGGGGAATCTCCCACGGAGGGCCGTCTAGGTGCAATATTATGTCCGAGAACCATACTCGGGCCGGCCACAACGGGGCTACCAACAGTAGACTGATCCCGTCGCGACGGACCCTTTCCAGAACTCCCGGGAGCAGAGCGATCGGGGGAAATGCATACAGACGCAGCCTCGGCCACGTCTGCACCATAGCATCCAGCCCCAGTGGGGCTGGAGGGGTGAGGGAAAACCACAGCGGACAGTGGGTCGTCTCTCGAGACGCAAACAGGTCCACTTCCACAGGGCCGAACCTCTGACATAT